GAGATTAGCATGAAACAATGCAGTTAAAATGAACAATTAATATCACTGGTATTTATATCATCACCTCCAGGTTACAGTGTTAACTCCTTATGGAAGTTAATGGGACATTTCATATATTCTCAGTCTGGTTTTGCTATTCTACTTTGTCAGTTTTTACACTCTATTCTTGTTTAAAGAGACACCTTTCCTTCCTAAAGAATTAAAAAATTTTTAAACTGAAATAAACCCAAAGAAGATGATCCAGAGTTAGTTTTGGTTTATGATGTCATAATTCTGGATTAGCTTTGTTATGAACTTTTTGGTGCTCACAAGATGAAAAGTCTATTTTTCCTTTACAATTTCTGTTTACTTTTTACCATATAACAGAAGTTATTTTGATTTTTCATTTATAAGTATTTTTGACCGGTTTTATTAGTGGATGTTTGCTTTTATCACAGAAATTGCCATTGTAATGAACTCTAACATGTCTTTGCTACATTCTCACTAGAAACTCTAATAAATCACTGAGGTTTTTGATTGACATGTCTTGTGAAATGAGATGAAACAGTAGGGAGCAGAGTTTGTGTTGTCCTTCCGTGGATTTCTGTGTTTTACATATCAGTAAACTCAGTATCCAGAAAACCACTTTCAGAAATATCAGTTTTCCGTTCTGTCTTATTACATATGTCTGCCTGAAACAATTACTCACATATTTCTTAAGGATTCTTTTAATGTGTGTGGTTTTTAGTAGGTGACAAGATTTCACATCATAATGTGCAAAGAGAAGTAGGATCACAGGCTGAGACTGATGTGAGGCAGATGAAAAGCACAGCACTGAAGAAAGACAGCTGCCATTGGTGTCTGAGTGCCTACAGAATGAAAACGTGAAACCTGCTAAACGAAGGATTGAGATGTCTGGGCAGTTTGAAGTAGAGATGGTTTGGGTTTCTAGGCAACCTGCCTTCTGATTTGTAGTCACTGAGTGACAGAAAGCTATGGTTCGAATTGCTACCCAGATCCTTGTCCTGATATTGAGGTCTTTGCAGGTCTTTCTGAGCACATACTGTGAGTACAGTGGAAAATCTGTACAACACTGGGGGACTATTTTAACTCTGGGGGAGCCAGAGACCATGGGCCATTCAGTGGCCCAGGTTTTTTGTTTTGAAGACAATAAAGCAGAATCAGTTCCTCTGATTCTGTATTATTGCAAGTCATTCTGGTATTGTCTCAATTCATACACTGCTATTACTGTAGCAACTATCTGTCTTTGGTGAAGCCATTCATCCTGGGAATAACCCTATAAAGCACTATAGTATATATTTATGTGAACTACAGTATCACAGAATCGCAGAACATGCTGAGTGAAAAGAGACCCACAAAGACCATCAAGCCCTGCACAGGATCATCTCCAAGAGTCACACCATGTGCCTTAGAGTGTTGTCCAAATGCTCCTTAACTCTGGCAGGCTTGGTGCTGTGACCACTTCCTTGGGGAGCCTGTTCCAGTGCCCAAATACCCTCAGGGGGAAGAACCTTTTTCTAATACCCAATGTAAACCTCCCCTGACGCAACTTCAGGCCATTCCCTTGGGTTCTGTTTCTGGTCCACAATCCTAAACATCCACTGGTCAGATTATGTGACCAATACATCTGTTCTTGAACAAGCAGCAGTCACAAGTATTGAGGCCATTTTACTAAGAACACAGCTGCGTTGGGCAGGGCACGTCTCCAGGATGAAGGACCACCGCCTCCCTAAGATCCTGCTCTGTGGTGAACTTGCCACTGGCTGCCGCATGAGAGGAGCCCCGAAGAAAAGATACAAGGACTCCCTGAAACAACATCTCAGCCTTGGCCATATTGACCACCATGACTGGTCTACTCTGGCCTCCAATCGGGAGACCTGGAGACACACCATCTATAACGCTGCGGATGCTTTTGAGAAAGCACGCAGGATCACCCTTGAGGAGAAAAGGCAACGCAGAAAGAATCGTGCCTTGCAGAATACACCATCTAAGGAGTCCTTCTGCTGTGCCTTCTGCAACCGGACATGCCTGTCTCGTATTGGCCTTTTCAGCCACCAACGCGCTTGCAACAAACGTGGGTAGAGCCCTTCCCAAATCTTCGTTCGTGAAGCCCAGCCATGATGATGATGTTTCTGGTCCCCACAGAGAAGAGATCAGTGCCTGCCCCTCCTCTTTGCCTCACGAGGAAGTTGTAACTACAATGAGGTCTCCCCTCAATCTCCTCTTCTCCAGGCTGAACAGACCAAGTGACCTCAGCTGCTCCTCATAACGGCTTCTTCTCAAGGCCCTTCACCGTTTTCATCGCCCTTCTTTGGACACTCTCTAACAGCTTAATGTCTTTGTTACATTGTGGTGCCCAAAACTGCACACAATATTCAATGTGAAGCTGCCCCAGTGCAGAGCAGAGCAGGACAATCCCCTCCCTCGATCAGTTCATGATGCATTGTCTGATGCCCCCCAGGACATGGTTGGCTCTCCTGGCTGCCAGGGCACTACTGACTCATATTCAACTTGCCATTGACCAGGTCCCTTTCCCCCAGGCACTGCTTTCCAGCATCTCATTCCCCAGTCTGTCTGTACATCTGGGGTTGCCCCATCCCAGGTGCAGAATCTGGCACTTTGCCGTGTTGAATTTCATATGCTTGATGATTGCTCAGTCCTCTAATTTGTCAAGGTCTCTCTACAGGGCCTCCTTGCCTTTGAGGAAATCAACAGCTCTTCCCAGTTTCATGTCATCTTCAAACTTGCTTACTATCCCCTCCAGTCCTGCATCCAAGTAATTTATGAAGATGTTGAAGAGCACAGGGCCCGAGATGGAGCCCTGTGAAACCCCACTAGTGACAGGTCACCGGTCTAACGTTACCCCATTCACTATTACTCTCTGTGCTCGACCTGTGAGCCAATTGCTCACCCACCTCATGATGTGTTTATCCATCTGTGTGCTGGACATTTTCTCCAGAAGGATCCTGTGAGAGACAGTATCGAAAGCTTTACTTTCGATATTTTGACTATTGAAATCCAAAGAGTTACATCAACTGGCTTCCCTTGATCAACTATTTGGGTTACAGAACATCAGGTTTCATAAACAGAACTTCCTCTCATGAAGCTGTGCTGGCTGTGACCAACGACTGCGTTGTCTTTCAGGCGTTTTTCAATACCTCTCAGAATAATCTTCTCCATAACTTTACCAGGCACAGAAGTGAGACTAACAGGCTTGCAGTTTCCACGGTCCTCCTTCTTCCCCTTTTGAAAACTGGGACGTTTGCCAGCTTCCAGTCAGCTGGGACTCTCCGGATTCCCAAGACCACTCAAAAATCATCAAGAGAGGTTTTGTGATGTCATCAGCTAGATCTTTGAGGATTCTGGGATGAATTCCACCAGGCCTCATAGATTTGTAAGGATCCAGCTTGAGCAGCATATCCCCCACAATTTCAGGGTCGACTTGGAGTTGATCATTCTGGCAGTCATGGTCCTCCAGCTCAGGGCAGTGAGACCCCCCTAGTCTATCATCAGTGTTGGAGAGAGAGGCAAAGAAAGTGTTAAACACCTCTGTCTTGTCTGTCCTTGATTGTGAGGTGACCATCCTCATCCTCTAATGGCCCAATGATATTTCTATACTGCCTATTGCCATTAATATATTTGAAAAACTCTTTTTATTGTCCCCTGTGTTTCTGGCCAGTTTCCACTCAAGTTGAGCTTTGATCACACAAATTTTCTGACATCTCTATTCATCCCATGTCACTTGACTGCTTCCACTGGGCATACACTTTCTTTTTTGCCTTATTTCCACGAGAAGATTCCTGTTCATCCAAGCCAACCTTCTGCCTCTCCCGCTCGACTTCCAGCATTTGGGAACTATTGCTCCTGTGCCCTTAGGAGGTATGTTTAAAACGTGCTGGCACTCATGGACCCCAGGACCTGCTAAACAATTTTAACATTTTTGTTAAAAAACTGTTTTTGCAGGTGCTGGAGTCCATCAGTGATGATACTTCTCTTGTAGGTGCCCTGGGATTTTTTTGGGGTCAATGTAGGGGAAAAAGGTCTAAGTAGTTATTACAGGTGCACTGCTACCAGCACTTTATTGCTAGTTAGAATTACATGAGCTAAGCCTGCTATGAATTCTTGATGTTTTGGGGAATTATTGTAGATTTTCATCTCTCCTGCCATGAGGGCCAGTGATAAAAGCCAAATAAGAGATGGCATAAAAGCTGTCCATGAAACAGTTAAAAACATAAAGTAAGAACATTTTAGAAACTGTTAGGTACTACAGTTTTACCTTCAGGATACTCATAAGAAATGAAAAATGTTCTGTTTTGCTTTGTTCTCTGGTAGTGAAATGTTTGATGTGTGCTATCGTGTTTTGAGTGGATAGTGAAGCCATTTCTTGAGCAGGAATTACCTCCAGTTTGCTGTTGGCATTGCAGTTAAGCCCAAGTTGAATTGAATTTTCAGTAAAATTGGCTGGTTTTTTGTGGTTTTTTTTTTGGTTGTGTTTTTTTGTTGTTGTTGTTTGTTTAGGTTTTTTGTGGGGTTTTGTGATTTTTCTGGACTGTTAAAAGTTTTTGCTTCAAACAATATGCTCTGGCTACTGTTGGGTACTTATAGCTAAGACACGTAAACAGAATGGACCAAGGTCATCCCTGGTGTAATTTACTGGAATTCAGCACTGTCACACTGGGAGTGAATTTGGCTCAATGTTTTGGCATTAGCAGTAAAGGTCATTCCTGCAGTTTGCCCTCACTATAGAAAGTGTGATCAAAAAGTTTTCCATTTTATTTCCCTTTTGATGGTCACATTAAATCTTATTACACTATTGGTGCTTACCTCACTGAGTGTCTGTGGGTTTTCTTTATAGGCAAAGCTTTCATCCCTGGACATCCATAAATAACTCTATTCACCACACTTTTTCCCACAGCATTTGAGTTATGCTTCCGAGCCGAGCCAAGTGTTAGCTTGCATGTTCTGCAGATGGATTTCTGATTCATTTTTGTCCATTTCAGAGAGGTGTTCTACCCCTGGATCTTCCATTCCAATCAGATTCACCTGCATGTTCTCTCCAGCACCATGCCTTTGAGAGGGCACTTGTCCAACTTTTCTGATTAAAGTGGATGCACTACTGTAGATACAGAGCCCTTGAAAGCAGAGGCTGCTGCTGCAAATTTACTTCTTAAATTTGTTTCTGAAAAAGATGCCACAATAAAAAGAGAAAAAGTGCTAACTGCATATTTTTTCAATAAAAGGGTTAGTATTTATGTACTTGGGGAAGTTATGACTCAGTTTTATATTATTCAGGATTTCATTTGTGTAAGTTACTTTCTGATTAGTTATTGATTATAATCAGAACCCTTGGAGCTAAATGTGCAATATAGCTAATAACCAGGTCTTCTGCAGATGAAGAGGATTCTTAAATATAATTTTCATGCACTTTACAATTTCTATTTATTGAACATTGTCACAAATGGCAAATTGCAGCAAGCCATTGAAACTGTGGCAGCAGCAGGTTTGCAGTATTTCTGTAAGCAGGGGAATGACAGAATCTTAAAAAAGGTCTTTTTTCTTAGTCTCTAAAGTTAAAACAATAAAAAACATTTTAAAATATCCCCTTCTATCTAATTAGTTTGGATGCAGGCTGGTTAAACCTCATGCATTGACTCTAAGACTCTTATAATAGGTAAGTGCTTCATCAGTTCCCACTGACTGGCAGGGGTTATAGGATCAGACAAGGGAAGAAAGTTCCTGAGGCTGCACCAACTGCTGTGTCACCTAGGAGGGTCCCTGGTCAAGGCATATTTCCCAGCTCCATGATCATGTTATTCCTACCCTATCAGGCCTCCTGGGCTTCAGATAACAGCCTATCAGAAGACTAAAAGCACCAGGTATTTATCCAGTATGTGTGCTGCTTTCAGTCCTGGGAGGTGACTTCAGAAATCTGCTCTGGACACAATAAAAAGCTTCTACTCAATAGGCAAAGGTACAAAAGAGGAATGATTAGTATAAGGCACAAAGAATTGATACCAAGCCCAGCAGCCCGTGGGAAAACAGAAGGGTGCTGTGGAACTGGCTGCAGAGTGAAACATGCTCCTTTGATCCAGGCAGTATATCTGGCTGCTTTTTAGATGTCTTTTTCATGCTTAGTGCATATTTGCTGGCAGCAGACATGGAGGTAAAAAATATGCACTGAATCTGTTAAAGGGCTCCCCTGAAGTTAATGGGAGTCTTTCAATGGGTTTTGGCTTAACATATTCTGTATCAGTGAGCTAGAGAACGGTGTTCTTCCATGACTTTTGGTCAGTAAATTATAGTAGGCTACAAAAAAAATATATAAATATTTATAACATAATCTCTCTCATGAGATAACATTGCATTAATATTCACTATAAATAGGAATCCTGCTGACAAGATTAGATAAAACTTTGAAAAAGCAAATTTATTGGCAATGCAAATCAAAATCAAGGTTAAAATTTTTCAGAATGTTTCAGAATTTTTCAGTTCAACCAAAAGTTATTAAAGTTGGGGGGGATTTTTTGCAAGTGTATAATATTTTTGCTGCTTTTAATTTGCATTTTGAATCAATCAAATAATGGAAAGTGAAACAGTAAAAATTGCAGCATAATACATAACACAGATAATGAGCCTGTAAATGAATAAGAATTTACTTCAGGGAGAAACTGTCTCTTTGAAAATTACATATTTTTTTATGAACTTTGTCCAAACTTTTTAGCTTCTAATGAAAAAAAAACCAACAAACAGTGGTTAAATAAAGCTCAGATTTTGAAATAAAATGTATTATGCGCCTTGTTAATAAAAAAGTTCTAATATAATTAAAAAACGTATGAAACTCTAGTACAAACTCCATCAAGACTCTCATGTTAAAGATTTTCAGCTGAAGTTTTTCACCTCTTGTTGCATCTCTGTTACTTGATTCAAAATTCATGGCATGTATTCTGCATCTTAGTTATGAAATTGTTTGATAATAATCATAAACCCCTGACTACTAGATACAGAACCTGCAAAAGCTTTTGAAATTACCTCTTGGACACACAAGAAGAAATTTAAAAGCCAGATGGAGAAGTTATTTACCAAAATCCCATCAGAAATATATAGGCTTCGGCTATCCAGGTCAACAGAAAGGAAATCATGGTGTAAACAGGGTAAAACAATGTAAAAAATATCTGATAAATAGATTCATATGTCATAGTGACAAACTATGGAAGAATTGGAATCTCTCTAGACTGTGGATCTGCCTTTGTATTCACCCTCCTCTGCAGAAGTCATAAGACACTAAAGAGTAACCCCAGATGACAAGTCCCAGACTAAATGATCATTCCATATTTTCATTCTGGAAATTCAGACTGCCCAAGCAATTAAAATAAAGGAGAGTCTTGGGATTTTAAGTGTTATTACACTAAACGGTATCTTCTATTTTGTATGAGGAGGAGAAATCATGAATGCAAAGAAAAAATTTCTAAATGCTTCGATTTATTTTCAAACTGTACTTTAAATGAGCCCATTTATATACCTAGAAGAGGTCTCATTAACTGATTTGAAGCTGGGTTAGAGTTTTATAGCCTCTTTTCACTTTCTGAAAACTTGATGTCTAGTTTCATTATGTCACAGTTTATAATTCTAGGGGAGGTAAACCTAGACAATATTCCTAAGTGTATGATAATTTGTGGGATGTATGAAGTGAAATTCATATCCTTCACATCCATGGATTTACTGGTTGCAATTCTTACCTGTATCATCTATGACAAAGCAAAAAGACTTTTCCATTACTCCTTGGCTGGTTCTTAGTTTCAGGATGAATGATCTGTAATCTGATTATATGTATCTTAACCAAAACATTTTATCTATTTTATGTACTTTCTTTTTAATTGAAGAATTCTCAGTCACACTGAAAAAGGATGTATCTGGGACTGACATCAGATCATTAGATCCTTCTCAAAGCCATTGGTACAAGGGATGTGGTTATCATTCTTTCACTCTATGTATGTGCATATTATATGCTATAGTGGATGGAGATTTGCCTGATATGCTTAAAATTTTTAAATAATTTGTAGCTATAAAACCCAAGTTCTAGAATTTAATCTTTTTATAATAAATTTATCTTTTTGAATTGATTTCTTTAACCTCTGCTTGAAAGGGATCAAAATAGACAGAAGTCTGGACATCTGGAGATGTAACAGCACCTGTACTGATATGTGAGCATATCTGCATGAGTTTTGTATGAAACAGAGACCTACCCAAAGTTCTCTCTAAATGTTTCTAGCCTGCTAATCTGTTCTAACTGTCCAGTGTAAAACAGACCCTAAAAACAATAGTAAACCCCCAACCCAATAAAACCAAATTGATTAAGCACAGACAAATATATCCCATTTTCTTTTTCATGGAAAACACATCATATAATGTACATATGTCTTTCTTTCAAGCATACGTGTGTCAGCAGTAGAGCACTGTCAGACTGCTAATTGCAAATTCACTCTAGGTTACGTTTAATAGTCCAGGAACTTTGATGAATTAGAACAATTTTCAGAAGACTAGTGAAATTCAAAGCTGTATCTGTATGACAAATATGGTATGTCTTTCTTTTCTCTAATAGGAAAGATGTCTATTTTTCCTCATCCCCTAAAAGTGGCAACTGATTGCCTGAAAGTCAGTGATCAACCATATCTAATTTTTGCTTGGAAAGGACTGCCATTGTTATAAAGACCTAAAGATAATCTCTTAGGAATAGCATCAGTTTACAAAAATATAAGCAAGGTAGGATGCTCTCCAACAAAATTTTTGTGCTGTATTTGAATGCTCTGATTTATAGTTGCTTAATATTGTGGAAATTACTTACAGTGGTAAATAAAATCTCAATAAAATCTCGATGTTTCAAAACTGAGACAATATGACAAGACTTTGAAGTGATTTTTATACTATTTTAATGCCTTTGTCTTGGAATTCAGATGACATTGTGACAGCATGTCACACAATTTATAAAAAAAGTAGCTAAAACAATAAAATAAACACGGGGGGCATAAATCTTGTCTAAGATCATGGTACATGCTCTCTTTCAGTCAAGAGTATGTGTTTGTGTATATATATATGTGTGTGTGTGTAGGGGGTGGGGGTGTGTGTATAAAACAGGTCCAAAAACATGACAGACTATAGACAAATTCAGATTATAAAATACAAAAGCAGAAGCTGTGGTTAGAAAAAAAATCAAATTAAATAAAAAAGATAGATGTAAACAATAACAAGGTAAAACAAACAAACAAGCAAATTTGAAAACCAGCTTCTTAAATCTTTTTGAAATACAGAAAAAAATCCTGACAGCCTGTCAGGGAATCTGTAGCACTTACCTACAGATCAAGATCTAAAGTAAGTTCTCAAGAGGATGGAGACGCCACAAAAAGTCAGAATGAATTATTTGACTCAGTGCTTTGTTTAGAGGAGCTTATGACAATCTAGACCCCATCCTCTTGAGTGGGATAGGACAGACGAACTGTCTCAGCTTCTAGTGCCATCATGTCAAGTTTTAAAAGAACTGATGAAATGAGTATTGATATCATAACTATTTTTACCCAAAATTTATGAAGAAATCAACATATGAAAAGTGCCAAAATATGGTTTGTAATTTATCTACTGAATATCCACTTTACACTAGAAAAGAAGCAAGGTTGTAAACACAGTCACACACTAAAAGGTTTCAAAGGAAAATTTAGAGAACTGCAGGCTAGTAAGCCTGATGCTTTTAATGGGTAAATTGGTTGAAACTACAGTAAATAACAGGTTCAGTAGACACCTCATGACGTGATAAAGAATCAAATGACTTTTCTAGAGGGAAACCATATTTATTAATCTGCCAGAGTTCATTGAAGGATCAAAAAACATATGACAAGATATTTGATTTTACTCATATTCAGGAATCTGAACACGTTTCTCAGCAATGAATCTTAACCAGCCATGGATCAAAAGGAGTGCTCCAAGGGATTAAAAAAAATATAGGAAAGGGGATTTTCATTTGCTATGTAGAAAGGAGGATATTAGAAGAATCCCAAAGCGAGATGTTCTGGATCAAGTTGTATCAACTACAGTCATAAGTAATTGGGAAAAAAAAAAAGAAAATGACAAATTCTGA